GGTCGGGGGTGGGGGTTTGGGGGTACCCTGCTTCTAGCTCACAAATTCTGACGCTAATCGGCATCTCTAAGCTGTGAGGCATCAAAAGGTTCTAAGGCAAAGTGCCACATGGCAGGTGTAATAATGCGTGTTCCTGTAAGAGAACACAGTCATACTCAATTTCATATAATGCATCACTTATCTGTATGCCAACAGAGCCTTAACTATATCATTATAAATAAGACATCCTTAAGCTAAAACAAGCACGTAGAGCGTAAAACCAAAGTGAAGCAATGCAGAAATTCCATGCACCCCTTAGTCCTTGCTAGCAGAAAACAGGGCTCTTAAGCAGAGGTGGAATATTAAGCTGTATGTAGGGGTGGGGAGGCCCAGCCAGGGAAGGTGGGATTGGGTAGACGGTGCTTTTCTGGCTGAGGTTGGAGTTAGAGCTGCTCATTTTCTTTGTCTGCTGGAGCAAGATTAACAAGATGAGAGCAATCCCTTGCAAGGTACTACTGCTAGATGTGAGAGAATTAAAAATTTTTACATGGTCAGTATTGTTCTTTCCTACAGGATACAATCAACAAATTGGAGAACGAGCTGCGCACCACGAAGAGCGAGATGGCTCGGTACCTGAAGGAGTATCAGGACCTGCTCAATGTGAAAATGGCCCTGGACATCGAAATTGCAGCATATAGGTATGGTGGGGGCAAGGCTGTAGTAAGCCAGACCTCAGATCAGGTTCCCATTCTCTCTTCCAAGAGTTAATTTTATTTATCATTCCTCCAACAGAAATTGCATAGGTAGATGTCAGGGTTTAATCAGGTCTTCTGCCATGGGAAGCAGCAGTGCTTTTGAGGTAAAATATTTGCTTAAAGCAAAATCTTCAGTGAGTGTAACAGTATATATACATTCAGGACTCTTAGCTTGGCAATATATGATCTCAGTTTCTCCATCTTTACACGTAAAAATATCTCTTCTGTACTGGCAGTGAAGAGATTTTTGTATCAGTGGAGCTGCTTAAGAGATGGCTGTGTTCTCAAAGTCAGAAATCCCTCAATGGTTTTAAGAACAGGTTTTGTTTCTAACTCAGAGGCAATCTCTTGCAAAGGAAGTATTTTACAGTAGAACTGTTGCTAAATTACTGTTTAGTGTTCTGTCCTTGGATAGAATTGCAAATGCCAAGATGAGTTTCTGTGAATGCCACAAGGGGGAATACTGAGAGAGTGGCTCTAAACCTGATTAGATGGCTACACATAACATCAAATTCTGTGCAGCCCTGCAGGCTGCCAGAGCACACCTCTGAGTTCACCTGCTATAGGAACCTAATCCTAGAGGGTTTTTTCCCCACATTATTTCTTCTGACAAGGAGAAGTATTAATTCACCAGTACTACACACCTCTGAATTATTCCAAGAAGACAGTGTTTGATTATAGGCTTGATTTTGCACTCCTGTGTATGCAGTCTAGGGCTTGTGCTGCTCTAAGCATTGTAGTATCTTGGTCCTTAGCTGAAATCTGCTGAACTAAGTCCTTTCTTGTTTCCTTTTCTCCTAGAAAACTGCTGGAAGGTGAAGAGACCCGACTCAGTTTCACTAGTGTTGGAAGCATCACCAGTGGCTACACCCAGACTGCCCCAACCTTTGGCAGGTCTGCCTACAGTGGCCTCCAGTCCAGTTCCTACCTGATGACAACCCGTACCTTCCCCACGTACTACTCCAGTCATGTCCAGGAAGAGCAGATTGAAATAGAGGAAACAATTGAGGCTGCTAAGGTGGCAGAAGCCAAGGCAGCCCCAGGAGAAGAAGGTGAGGAGGAAGAGAAAGAGGAAGGTGAGGAAGAAGCGGGAGGTGAAGAGGCAGAAGAAGAGGAGGAAGGTACTTAGAGCTACTCTCAGATCCCTCTTTCATGCTTCACCCTGCTCATATGGCATAAACCCCAGAAATCCTAATGACCAAGTCTGATAATTAGACCTCTGTCATTGCTCAAATGAGCAAAGGACCATGGGATGAAGCACACAGCACCTAGGCAGGAGAGCCTGAATATTGCGTGGAGGAGAAGGTCAGTGTTCAGTGTCAGGCAGATTATGGGATTGATAATAGTCCCCTGGAAATCACAGGGTGATTTTCCATTCAGGCTTCCAAAACCAAGACTGGTAATACTTCAGTAGTGTGTGATGTTAGCACCAAACAGTATGTACCTCTTACAGACATCCTCAAAAAGGAGGAACAAGGTCACCCTGAGCTAAATACTAATTCCCAGAGAGTAGCCTGTGATAACAGAAACATCAGCTGCTGTCTGTGGATGTAACTGTTGGCTTCAGAGAACTGCCTGAAGTCTAAATAGTTTCCTTGTTCAAAAAAGTATATGCTGCTTCCTTGCTGCCCCATAATTCATTTACCAAACTCACTTTTTGAAGAAAATAGAAAAGGGATGTTATCCAGACTTGCTTTTTCCCAACTTCATTTGCATAGCTCTGAAGGATTTAACGTAAAAATTCCTCAAATAGATTTGTTGCAATTGAACTCTTTGAGGAGTTTATTAGTGTAGAGATTAATTATTATGTTAGCTAAAGAGCCAGTTGCAGAGCAAAGGCAAGATTTCCATTTTGAACTCAAGTCTTGGGATAAGACTTAAAGCAAGGAGTTCAGCATCAATATTTTTTCAAGCCGTGATTTTGAAAAGAGCAATAACATCTTTTTTTTGAACTCAAGTCTTTGGATAAGACTTAAGCAAGGAGTTCACCATCAATATTTTTCCAAGCCATGATTTTGAAAAGAGCAATAACATCTTTCACTCCCTCTGAAATCTGGGCTAAGTTGCTGTATAGGTTTGTTCTGCCTTTCAAGTCCCAGATAAATGTCTCTGCTCTCATGCAAAATGATCTGCTGGCCCCATCCTGCTTAGCTGGCTGCTGTCCAAACGTGGGGGCTGAGTCCTATTTAACTGGGGTTAGGGTGATGCCTAGATGTGAAATACATCCTTTTGTCTTTCAAAGGTGCTAAGGAAGAATCTGAAGAAGCCAAAGAGGGTGAGGAAGAGGAAGGAGAAGGGGAAGAAACAGCAGCTGAAGAAGCAGAGGAGTCTCAGGAAACTGCTGAGGAGACTGGTGAGGAGGAGAAGGAAGAGAAAGAAGCAGCAGGAAAGGAAGAGAGTGAAGTGAAGAAGAAGGCTTGAAATTTTTTTTAGGCAGTCTAGCTTTCTCATCAGGTCAACAGGATAAATGATGATTGACTGAGCTAAAATTGCAGTCTCACATATTTAATTCAGTGACCATTGAGGTTTAAAGTTAATGATCTATGATGTTTCTCTCTGTGCAGAGTATCAGTTTGCTTGCAGAGCACCCACTGGCTTGCTCCCTGAATGCCGCATGGTCTACACGTATGAATTCAGGGGTTGTGTCTTTCCTGGGTGATTTGGAACTTAGCATTTAAAATGGGGGGAAAAAAATAAGTTGTGGGAATGAAAGTTACCTTTAACTTGCATTTAAAATAATTCTGGAAACCTTGGGTGGGTGAAATAAAGGAGGCTTCAATAAGTATGTGCAATAAAGCTAGTCAATAAAGTTACAGAAATGCTTACACAGATTCCTGGTGTGTGTCATGTGTCACTAATGCACTTAAAAGGTTGATAAAGTCATGTATCAAACTCCTCTTCCAAGGCTGGGTAATAGGATATGGGATATTGGTTTCTGTCTCTTGCTGATAAGCTTGGGGGGACTAATAGGTAGACAGAAATTTTTGATGGCCCTGTAAAATTTCACATGGAAATCTTAAGATTTTGGGAAGACCCTGATGTCCAAATGTGCTGTTAGCTTTGTGATGGGTCTCACTGGGCTGTGGGGTGCACACAGGCAGGAACTCTTTTGCTTTCTGAAAAAGAAATTTTAATGAATGATTATAGAAGCAAAGTGCAAATGGGGCTGTTAAACATTGGTAGGAAGATGTTCCACGTGACAGATCAGTGCTGAAAGAGAGTGACTGTGGATGTAGCTGAGACTTGAGGCAATGGCTGTATATTTATATTTGAGGAGAAATAAAAAGGCTGTGGTGAGGTGCTAGAGGGAAGGACAATGTGGGGGGGAGTTTTCTCTGCTGCATGGGTGAGCTGCTTTCCCAGGGTCCTACCTTGGACTAAAGAGATTCACTTTCTTCTGGGGACTTGTCAGGGCCTTTTAAAGTTTTGAGTGTGAGCTAAAGAAAGGCACAAAATAGGAACAGCTCACACAGCAGCAAATCCTGGCAATTCTGAAACCTGTGTCCTGTGGTCTGTGCCTATTTATTTCCAATTAGCTGAAGATGGATAAAATCCAACCTTGTGCTAAGGGCAGGTACCAGAAAAATGCTGCAAATTAAACCATTTAAAATAAACCCATATGAAAATGGCCATTACATGGTTTCATGAAAACTTTTCAGTCATATTTAGCTTGGTGGATATTGGGGTAACTTAAATTTGTACACTGACTGGTATTGGTTGATTAGCATTGGTTCTCCTTGGTGCCTGTGTTCAGAGAGAAAGGAAGTGTCTCTTTACACAGATTTTAGGGGTTTTACAAAAGCATCTCCCTTTTCAGTGTTGAAAGAGCTATAAAAAACAACAATGGATGAGGGAAGCACTGAAAACAATTCTTTGCTTTCACATGCCCAGGAAAAACACCAGGAGGAAGAAAAAGCAGCTTCAGTAAAACTATTCAGGAACCAGAACTTCTATACATCTGTAATAATTCCAGTTCCTCCTGTCCAGGGGATTGCACTATCATTTTGAAATGCTTAATTTTTTCCCTCCTTCTTGGGGGTTTTGATGCTTTTGAGAACAAGAAGGCAAGTAAATTATTTTTCCCTTTCTTAAACAAATCTTATTGAAGTCTTTCTTTTCATATTTCCCTTCTGCTTTTAATGGAGATATTTCTACATGTGTTCCTAAAACTTACTCTTACAAAGCAGATTTTACTCTGTCTCTAGGAAAGCTGTGGTGAGAAGTGGGAGGTACTTGCAGAACCACGGGCCAGAGACTCAAGCATGCTGTTTGCTCAGAGCTTTTAAAAGCTGTCAGTGGGATTGCAGGAGAGCTGCTCCTTTTGCTATGGGATACCCTTGGTGCAAACAGCACAACACTGAGTCTGAGATGGTCCTTGGAAATTCTGCCCTAGCAGAAACTGCTTAGCATGGCATTTCAGCTGGGAGAGAGGTTCTGCTCCTGCGTGTTATGCACCAGACCAGGACTCATCACAGCCATTAAAGCCAAGAGAGCATTCACTAAACTGGCCTTTATTAAAACCACTGTCTCATCCTGACTTTCTCCAAGAGCTCTGAGCTCCTTTTAACTTTTCAATACTTGCTTTTGCTTCCTTTTTCGTGTCTTGGTTTTGTGTTTTGTGTTGGTTTGGATTTTTTTTTTCAGATAAACTCCATCTAGTCCTTTGCATCCCTTTCACTCCTGGGAAGCAGCACAGCTTGCAGCTCTCCCAAGTGTTGCAGCCAGGCTGCCAGGGACGCTCTCAAAGCAGCACTTTCAGAGAGGCAGCAGCAAACACACTTTTCCCTGCAGTGTATCTCAGCCCTATCCCCAGCCCTTATGTTATTTTTAATGTATTGCAGCTAGAGGAGAGACTTCACGACTGCAGGAGATGTGTGAGTCACAGCCATGGCAGTGAGCTGCAGAGTGACAAGCTGCAGTGACCGTCCAGCCTGGCTTGTCAGCCCACCCTGCCTTGCTGCTAACCTGGAGAGAGGGAGGATGGAAACCTGGGTTTGCCTGCTGAGATGGCCTCGGGGTTGTGGGGATCCTACTGGCAACCCTGGTTTTACCTCTGAAGCCCCAGGAGCTGGCTTTGACGCAATGCAGTAGAAGCAGGCAGAGGGAGACACGACAGAAACTTTAACCCAAGTTGCAGCTGTGAGGAAAGCCAGGAGCCTGTCCCTGAGCTTCCTCTTATTTGGGCAGACAGGGTCTGGATCGTGCTGAGATCTCATCATGTGGAAGACAAACACAAGGTGGTCCTGAGTGCTTTTCTTGAGATACACACACTCCCCCTCCACTCAGCAAGAGGAAAACTTGTGCAGGTAGAATATCCAGATTCTAGGGATTTACCTTCTAGTGACTAAATAATTGACAATTCATCATTTGCTGCCTTTCTGGATTAGTTAAGGAGGTTTAATCCTGAGCTCAGAAGGAGGAAAGCCCTTGTGTGAAGGGGAAAAGAACAGACCCTGATACCTGGAGAAAATTCTAGTGCCTGACTCATCTCCCTGGCAAATGCAACCTGTTTTGTAACACTTCCCAGCTTGTTTCCACCTGGAATTGAGTTCTGGGATACTGAAAATCTCTTAATTGTAGCATCTCCCCAAACCAATAGTAAAAATGTCCTGTCTTGGAGCCCTGAAGTCACAGGGGTCCTCACAGCCCACTTTAAATAAGATGTATAAATCTTCACAGTAATTTCCTTTAATTATTATTTTCCTTCCATATTGATTAATGAACTTCTGTGTCTGAAAGTAATTAATCCCTTCACTGGTTATGCACAGTCTGAAGGAGTAATTGGGGCAGAACAGGCAAATAACATACTATTTATGCATCTCTGCCCTGGAATTATGCTATCTTTTGAAACTGATTGCAGATGTCAGTAGACAAAACCTCTTGGCAACATTAAATGTTAATCAGTTCTTATAGTTTTATAAATATTTAGAAATGTGCTAACCAGTTGCTTATTTCTCTTAGGATTTGATGGAAACATTTGCAGTGGGAAATGGACTAAACTCAGAAATTTATTTTGTCTGTTAGAGCAGAGGGAAAAAAAAAGCTGTTTTAAGTAATAGCTAAAGGCTGCAATATGTTTTGGGTGGAAAAGGGGGAGAAGGAGACTATTTTGACATACTCATGCCAGTGGGCAGCCCAGGAATTTGCCTGCCATGCAGGCTGAATTCCCCAAACCTGTTGGGAAAGTGGAGGTACCCTGTGTGGAAGGGTTGATAGATGCCCCAGTACAAGAAGCTGCACTCCTGGCTGGACTGCCAACGTGAGAGCAGAATCAAAATAACACCAGTTATAATCTCTAGGTCATTGTAGCTGTATCCTACCAGAACTGAAAATAAAATGTGGCATGAAAAATAGCCAGGCAGGTTGGGATCCCACCCCTGTGTCATCCCACACCAGGAGTGCTGGGGAGTCCACCACTGACTCCAGCATTTACCTCACTCTACAACGTGACCCTTCTTCCTCTTGGTGCTGGAGATGCTTGACTTTCTCTGCTGAGGGGTGGCAGCCCACTGGCTTCACAGTTTGTGACGTTTTAGCAGAGTCTAGAGTTTATTTGGAAGCATATAAATAGAAAGTTTTATGTTAAATACTGGTCTCTGGTTTAGTTTTGGGGTTCCGTGGTGGTGGTCTCTTAAAAATTTTATTGGATCCAAGAGAAAAATAGCTTCAGGTCTCACAAACCATGGGGAATTTCTCTATTTTAACATAACTTGCTGCAAACACTGACAATAGTTGAGGGTGACTGGGCTACTTAACTCCTTATTCACAAAGGTACAGTTATTTTTATGTCATATACACAAGGAACTCACAACTAAGCTCGCTACAGAGAAGCTGCCATTTAATTTGCTCACTCTGCTTTAATTAAACGTCACTCAGGCAGCAAGCTGTTGAGTGCAGATCTCCATTATTGATATCAGCAGGAGAAACATTCATTACTTTGCTACACAAAGACAGTCAGATTTATTTGAAAGGCTTATCTGCTGCGGGCTCGCTGCAATTTCTCCAGTGAAGAAGATGCAGAACTCTTTCAATTAAAAACTACTTGATCTTCAATTATTGATAGGATAAAGAATTGGAAGGCATAGGCAAACTATAGATTTTGATCAGACCCTCAATTAGTAAACAGATTTCAGGGCAGTCTGGGAACTGAACCCAGGCTTAAGAATGATTTGCATTTCTTTGCTGGTTATGGGCAGTAAGGCAGTAGGAGTGTTCTTCATTGT